CAAAAAAGTAGGAAAAATTATTTTTAAAAAATTATTTTATTTCAACATATACAAATCTTTAAATAAAAACAACTAATTATTATGGATATTAATGTTAAATACACAATTTGTAGCATTTTGTAAATTATGTAAAATTGCCGGTACAGAGGAATTAGTTGGTGTTAATTGGCTGTTAATAGTCGTAACGCTCGTAGATTGAAAAGATGACGTGTACGGGAGTGACATCGGTTGCAGGTCGCATGAAGGTGAAAATGACGGTGGCAGCAAAGGTTGCAAGTCATTTCTATTTGAAAGAATTTTATTCGAAATGTTTTTCTTCTGTGTTTCGGAGTCCTCCAAATAGCCTTCAGCGATAGTAGTGGACTTCCAGCCACCGAGACGTTTTATATTGGTTATCGCTTCACCTGAGTCTGCTAGGAATGTTGCTGAAGAACGTCTAAAACTGTGTCCTCTGTATATCGTTCAGGATTAGGTAGACGCAAATATGCAGCAATCTCTGTTGGCATCTTACCAAAGGTGTTTACGGCAACGCACTGAATTGAGCATTTTCCCTTCTTATAATTAATAAAAAAGCGGCGATGCGGAGTGGTAGGTGGTCGTAAACCTGCGTACTTTCTGTACAGCTTCAGAAAGTTTCCATTATTTATTTCTTCACATAAAACAAATGATCTTGAAGAATGATTTTTGGAATCGAAAATTTTCACAACTATCAGATTGCCTTTATCTTGTATATCATCGAGAGTGATATTTACAAGCTCCGCTCTGCGGAGAGCACCAGCTAAAGCAAAAATGGTACTCACTTTAATCATAAGGTATACCTCATCAGGGGCTAACATAAACCTGGATATATCTTCTTTGGTAAAAACCTGCGCCTTCTGTGCTCGAAAACCAACATTTTTTTGTTTTAGAAATGACGTTAACTTATGGAACTGGCTTATATCCAAATTTTGTTTTATTTTTACTAAACTTTTCACCATCGAATAGCGAGACCATAAAGTATTAGATTTCAAAAACTTACTTAGGTGCGAAAAATACGCCAGAAACACCTCTTCTTTGTAGGTTTTTACCCCTTCCTGTTTACACCATGTGACAAAATGGTCGTATTGTTTTTAATATCTTCCTCGTGATTTGGCAGGTAACACCTCCAAATGTGGTTCATTTGCAGCTTTTAAAATGGCTTCGGGCAGCTCTTCATCCGATGAATCCATTATTTCTTTAATTTATTTTAATTCAGTTGACGCTTCAACAAACAACTTTGACGTTTTTGTAACAATAACACGCCTTGGTTACCATATAGCAACCATATCAAGCCATACATGTCACAGCCTAGTCTGACTTTTAAATATATACAGAAGGTATATAAAAATATCTCTATTATTCAAGTTTTCCAAAAAATTAAAATTATAACAAAAAGCAAGAAAAAAAGTAAATTTTATTAAATGGAATAGTTGGAAAATACTAAATTACCTATTGTAACAATAGTTATAACATCCGAGGTAAAAAAACTATACAATAGGTAAGGCTAAATATTCATAATTTGACTTTCCCGCACTAGTGCGGGAAAGTGACACTTTCAAAACTAAAATGCGTGCGGGAAAGTGGGTAAAAATACACGGTCGTAGAAACAATATTTTTTGTTTAACAGTTGTCCAAAATCGCAAAATTTCCGACATACAGTGCATTTTATATAAAAATAAAGTCCAGTAGATATTTGTAATTTTTATAATAATTGTTTAAAAATAAAAACAACAATACTTGTTTGTTCCTTGTTAAATTTTATTTATACAGTTTATATAATTATGTATTTACAAAAAAACACTTATTCCTATTAACAGATTTATTTATTACAAAAACAAACCTTTAAAATGCAATTTTTTTTAAACAAGATAAACATAGGTATAGTGCAATATCTCATTGCGTATGCTTCATCTAGTTCGGGACGGTTTACTTAATCATATAACAGTCATATTTAATTATATAATCTCCTCCTCCCAATATCCTTTTGTATGGAAACAAGCCCTTATCGATCCTATTGGGAGTGTAATCAGGCAACGAATTTTTCTGATTTAAAACCAATCAGCCTTCTACCCACTTTATCAAAATCATTTGAAGTAATTATCAAAGATCAAATTACTAGGTATGTTTATCAACGAAATATTATAATTCAATATCAGTCAGGTTTTAGACGCCATCACAGCACTACTACTGCTCTTCTATCTATTAGCGATGATATTTTTAAAGCAACCGATCAGGGGAAAATAACATACTTGGTTTTTCTCGACTGCAGCAGCAAGGTATTTGATACCCTAGATCATGACTCACTCAGTAAGAAATTAAACTTTTTCGGCTTTACAAAAAATACAGTCTCCCTCATATCAAATTATCTTAGTAATCGCACTCATAAAGTAATTTTGGATGGCAACATATCAAATTTCCTACCAGTAATACAAGGGGTGCCACAGGGTTCAATTTTGGGACCAGTCCTATTTGCTCTATACATTTTTGACTTCCAAAGCTTTGTTCAAAATTGTGCGATTCACCATTATGCTGACGATACCCAGTTTTATCGATCTTTTGACAAAGAGTCGCTGGATAACTCAAGTTTTCATCTTAATGAAGACTTGAATTCATTATTTAATATATCTACTGCTCACAACTCCGTTCGTAAATCCGTCTAAATCTACAGCAATGCTATTTGGGGCAAACAAATATAAAATATGTAGATCAATTACAGAAAACAATTGTTGGCAAAGTTCTTTAGTTTGCAAATGAAGCCAAAAATTTAGATCTGTGGATTAATTCCGAGCTTAAATTTACAAAGCACTTAAATTTTTTGTTACAAAGTTGTTTTACTGTTTTGAGACAACTATTTCCTAGCCGAGATTTACTTTCCACACACACCAAATTAAAACTTTGCGAATCTCTTACTTTTTTAAAGATATTTTATTATGACTCTATTTACGGACTTGCACTACTTCGATATGATTTCATTTGATCATATATCACACAAATGATGGAATCAGGGTGGTTATCTTTAAATAACTACGGGACACTTCACTTGTTACATTAGTTCAAAAACCCAATTATTTATTCAAAAAGTTTATAACGTTTTTAAATATAAATACATTGGGTGCTATGATTGAACGTTTACGTTATCCGTAACGTACATGTTAGGCCGAATTTTAAAAGTAACGAGGCAAGTTCGGATGATGGAAAACTGTTAAATTAGAAGATAACAGGCGGAAAATAACAGTAACGTGTTGGAAAAAGTTTTCCATCATACGAACTTGCCTCATTACTGTTAAAACTCTGCCTAACATGTACGTTACGGATAACGTAAACGTTCAATCATAGGACCCATTATCTACACGCAACAGAAACACCTTAGTCATACCTTCGATGATGGTGGGTGGGGTTTTTCTCGCCTGTAAGTCAAATGGCACCATCAATCACCTTTAAGTCGCCCCGGAGCGCCACGGCAAATAATAATAATAGCCGTTCCATCCCCGGACAAGCTCAGCTTTCGCAAGGGGATGAATTTAGGGAAATTACTATTATTATTAATATCTTAAGTTGTGTTCATTTTTAATCATTCCTTTCATCATACTATATCTTCAAATACAAACACTGTAAAGACAAGTTGTAGTCACGACAGACTGTGTCGTTTATCTAAACCGTTTGACTTGCAACTTTTTAAGAGTTCAAAAGATGTAAGTAGTAGGTAATGAAATGGGGACCTATTTTCAAACTCGAGAGTATTGAATTCTCTCTCAAGATTTTCACGAGAAATGTCATATTTCAACGTGAAAACACTGTTTTAAAGCCAGTGAGGATTACAATTAGGATAATTGCATTCTCTCGATATAAACAGAGAAAAACAGTCAGTAATTTCTCAATGTATATGACATTTCTCGTGAGAATCTTGAGAGAAATTCCATAGTTTAAAAATAGATCCCAGAGATGTAAAAAACACCAGTGTTTAACTTGTACGAATGTTGCCAATTTCTAAAGGTTAACGGAGTAGGGGAACTGGGAGGAGACCCGAGAATGAACTATTAGATTTACTTAAAAGATGTTTTAATGGAATGTTGTATTATGAAATAAAACTGATGTGATTAAGACACGAGTATGAGAATTACGACACGAGCCTTGGCAAGTGTCATATTGAATACGAGAGCCATTAAATGTGAGTTGCATACACTATTTTTCTACGACTATTGAATTATAATAAAAAAATAAGTAAATTATTTACAAAATTTATTAAACTTATAGAGGAAGAACGAAATAAACATCAAAACTTTATTCTAAACAAACATAGAAAACAGATATTTAACGTCTGGGGCTCCTGCAATAAATTGCTTTATATCATTTGTATTAAATGTTTTTGATTTTCTTTTCAACAAGGCCTGTAATTTTGAAAATTTGGATATATCCTCTTGATGATTAATACATAAAGTTTAAGATTAACCGATATATCGATGTTTCAAAAAAATAATAAAACGAATTATCGAATATTTGAAATAATCGATTATTTTCGGTCAATCGATTATTTTCAAATAATGTTTTTTTTCGTATTTCCTTTAAAATCTATTATTCGATTATATTTGAAATATCGAAAATAATTATAATCTATTTTTTTCGTATTTCCTTTAAAATTAATTATTCGATTATCTTTGAAAAATCGAAATTACTGGCTTAATTGAAAATAATCGATAAATCAGTAATTATAAAAAAATAACCGAAATATCGATTATTTAAAATAACCGATTATATGCCATCAATAAATTATTTTCAAATAATCTATTTTTTTGTATTTAAAATTAATTATTCGAATACCTTTGAAAAATCAAGAAAAATCGAAAATGAACAAATAATTAAAAAATAGAATAAACGATAAATCGATTTTTCTAAAAAAATTAAAATCGATTATTTTTAACCAATCGATTCTTTTCAATCAATCTGCATAATCGAAAATAATCGATAAATTATAACCGATAAATCGATTTTCAAAAAGAAATTACCGAATAAACGATTATTTTTGCAACCCCTATCGGTCGCTTGCTTTTATCCAAGCATTTATCTTCAAAATTTAAAGATTTGGATTTTTTAATCCTGTTATTTTTAAAACCACATTTTGTATAATAAATATTGCAAGAATTTAGATTTTTTAGTGAACAAATTTTTTTCGAGCTGTTTAGGGTTTTATAATGTAACGTTTTATTAACAATGTGAATAATTCCCGTATATTTATTATTTCTTTATTCTAGACATATTGAACGTTTTTCTTTTAAGACATAAGGTTCAAATGTCACTTAAGATAATAAGTAGGTCGTCCTGGATTTTATCTAATATTCTTATAAAAATACTTAATAAAAAAAGGGCTAAAACCTACCTTCAGTAAATATTCTTATAAAACTACTTTTTAAAAATAAAATTTCGTTAGCAACAATGTCTATTTTACTTCTAATTTACATATGACTAAATTAAAAGTTCAAAATTTTGCCATCTTGTAAATTTATGTATGTACTATGAAATCTGTTTTCTAAAATATTTGATGCTTAATATATATTTAGAGAAATCCCTTGAAGAATCATGACGGCTTCATGTCAAAACGTTAATAAATATTTACCGCTGAAAACGAATATATTTCTTATTTTGGCACTTATAAGTACATACTTTTCACAACACATTGTTGCATTTTTAACTTTAAATTGAATAATTAAAACATGTTTTGCGTAAAATAAAAATGTCGGAGTAATTCGGGTTGCGTCGTGGAAATAATGATTTTTAATTGGTAGATAATGTTACATCTTCGATCTTTTTAATCTAAGGCAATTAATAAGCTGTGACAGCAAGCCAGGCAGGAAAAATGTGAGTACTGCACAGGGCGGTTCATGATTTATCGTCAGGATTTTACCAACCAATAGTTAATCGAAAAATAAAAGTAGTTTGAACGCAGTTTTATCCAATTCTTTGTTTAGTTTCGTTTTAAATATGAAAAAACAACTAAGATTTTTTGTTATTATGAATATTTAAATGTCTACGTACGTGAGATTTATCATTAAATGCTTTAGAACAAATATCACACTTAAATGGTTTTTTACCACTATGCACAACTAAATGCTGCTGTAAGTGAATTTTCTGAGAAAATTCTTTGAAACAAATTTTGCACTTAAACGGTTTGTCACCACTATGAATTAGTAAATGTGTCTTGAAGGTAGATTTATTATAAAATTCTTTGCAACAAATGTTACATTTGAATGGTTTTAACCCACTGTGAATTTTTAAGTGTCTCTGTACGGCAGATTTGAAACTAAAATCTTTGAAACAAATATCACATTTGAATGATTTTTTACTACTGTGAGTTATTAAATGTTGCTGTAAGCTATATTTTGCGTTAAAACCTTTGCAACAAATGTCGCACTTGAACGGTTTTGTATTGCTGTGATTAATTAAATGTCGTTGTAAGTAACTTTTCTGATTAAATTTTTTTGAACAAATGTCACACTCAAATGATTTTTCATCATAGTGCAGTAGTAAATGTCGCCGAAGGCAACCTTTTCGATTAAATCGTTTAGAACAATTATCACATTTAAAAGGTTTTTCATCACTGTGAATTATTAAATGTCTTTTTAATTTGTATTTTTGATTAAATATTTTGAAACAAGTATCACATTTAAACGATTTGTCACCAACGTTATAAAAACTGGTTTCCTTCAACTGTTTAGCAGAAAGATTTCGATTCGAAGGTTCGTCAGCAATGTGATATTTTAATTTATTTTTCACTACATGAATAAATAAATGTTGAACAAAATCAATTTTTTTCATTAATCTTCCACAAAACTGACAAACTGCGTAGCGTTTTTCAAAATGTCCATCAATATGACTTGATCTTGAGTTAGATGAAGGAAAATCTGTAAATTAAAAAAAAAATTGTGTAACTAATAAGGATTTGTTTAATTTTACTTGAGAGCAAACCGGACACTCGCAAAACTGTGGATATAGATCCGTTGTTTTTGATTCAATTTTTATGAAAATTCAGGTAGTAATTCAGAAGTAATAACTATTTCCGAGACAGTTCATGATTTTTTTGTATCTTCAGAACTCGAGAATTCTTGGCTGAGGACTCGGGAAATTTTTATCTGATTAGGATTCACAATTGGTTACTTATTTACCTTATATTACCGAATTAAATATGCTTTCCACAAAGATAAATATAACTTTTTTAGAAACAGTAATCGTTTTGTGAATTTCCACGTACAAAAGAATGTTCTTCCCGCACTTTTGTCAAAATTGACAACAAAAGCCCCTTAATTTATTACATTTTAATCAAAAAAATAAACAAAACTTTCAATTTTCATATACCTGACCACATGGTCAACATCAAGCTAGTCTAGTTAGCAAGGGACGTCGTTTCACGTCATAATCACGTTGAATTTTGATCAAATGCGTCGATGTGATTTTTTGACGCAAAAGTAACGTAATAATGACGTCATTTTTGGACCAATTTGACACGTAAACATAGTAGTTACGAACATTAATGCAAGGCTGCCAGAATGAAAATGACAAATCGTACTGAAAAACATTTTAAAACGTACTAAATTTAAAAAAACGTAATGAATAACCAACTTTAAAAGCTATATTTTATGAAAATGTACCAATACCTAAATCGAACAACACCTTAAAAATAGCTGGAGATTTAAATTTACTATTAAATATTTTTTTAGAAACATTTTAAACATTTACCAAAAATGTACCCTTTAGCAACAAATGGGACACAAGTGAAATAAAAATGATTTTCTTGTGGTTTACCACTTTTATTAAATTATATAATCTTTATGTATAAGAAAAAAAAAATCTTAATCCATTTTATTTTCAGAATTATAACCAACAAACGTGCAATAAATTTGAATTTCAAATAAATTAATTGACTCATCACATAACTTAACTGTCATCCATCATTAGTAAAATATGTCACTTTATTCAAAAAATGTCAAAATAGTACTGAATTGACTATTTTGTTGATAAAATACGTCACTTTATTCGAAAGATGTCCAAATAGTACTGAAAATAGTAATGAATCGACTATTTTTAACAAAAACATACTAAAACTAACAACGCAACACTGACGTACTGAAAAAGTACCGAATTCAGTTCAAACGTACTGAAACTGGCAGCCCTGCATTAATGCACTGCGAGTTTTTGTTATTCATTTAAATAAATAGAAGGTAATTCATGGAATATCGTTTTTTTAGTGGTCACTGTGACACCAAAATAAGACGTATTTTAGGGACCAGTTTGTCACGTTCCGAAATGAGGTGTTAAACTACTCACGTATACATGTCGATTCTATCTATACCTTCGTTGTTTTACATTCTATTTATTTATAAAACTATCTTTAGTGTTTATATTAATTTATTATTCTCATTTTAAATCTAGTGATTTTTGGGAATTTTCCTATTCATGTAAAATTTTATGTTGTCCACACTGTTTAGAAATGTCAGATGTCACGCCATTGTCCAAGGTTTGCGGCATTAACACTTTTTGCAACATTCACCATAACTAACATTTTATCGTTTGATTTTCCTCCATGGTTTGATTTTGCATGTTTTTTGAAAAATAAGTAGTTAGGAACTTTAGTGCAATATTATTGTTTATATTTAGTGTGTTCATAGGAATTCAATACGCCAACAAGCACGGCAGCGGAGGATCATTAATTCATACAAGTGGCAAGAATCTTTTAAGAACAGCTTAAAAAAGGCGACTCCTCAGGAGAAAATTGGACTTTTTTCTATTTATAGAACATATTTTAACGAAGGTTTTTTTTTTTTGTATTTTAAAGGTGCCTGTAGATAGACTAATTTTGTTTTAATCATTAACATCATTAATATAAACATAAATTTAAGGATTTTAAAACAAAACCGTTTATACAGATAATTTAAACATTAGCATAAGATTTGACAAATCATTAAAAGTGGGAAAAAGACATATTAAAATTGCTGTGCTAACTATGTCACAAAATTAATAAAAAGATGTAAAAAAATACCTCACTTTTTAAACTCACATGTGCAGTTGTATTGTCGACATTAAATAAAGCATTAAGTTGGATTTTATTTATCTTTACTATGTTTATGCTTATGTTATTCTGTATAAACAGGTACATTGAAATATATTAACTTTTATGTTAATGATGTGAATGCTTAGAGAAGTAAATCAGGCTAACTAAACACACCTTTAGGCAACTAAAACACCTTACTTGTCTATGTATTGTTACTAAAACCTTACCCTTTATGTATTGTGGTTTTAATTACGTCGTTTTATGGAATGATTTTGCATTATATATCTTGATATTATATTTTTTGAATTTTTGGTTACGAGGTAACTATTTAGTTATAGTATTTCATATTTTATTTATTTAAAAAAAGTAGTGTATAAAATTATTTATCTATTTTAGATAACTACCAGAAAGCTAGCCAGAAAACAACAAAGGTTCTTATAACATCAGATATAACAAGTGATGATGATGTAGAACCTCTTCCTCCTGAAAGAAAACCGAAGCCATTAAAAAGATTATTTTCAAGTGACGATGAAGAATTCATTATTGATGACGAACCTATTAGTAAGTACTGCTTTGTCTAAGATAACTTGTTTTATTATGACTATTATGAGCAAAAGTGATACTTTTGTGACACTGTTATAAGTACATTTATTTTACTCCAAACAATTTTTTCTTCAAATGTCAATAATTGTTTTTCACAATTATTAAAAATCTCACATTTACCATCAAAAAAGAGCTTGGGAGTAAAATAATTTTTCCTCCTACCAATATATACCTCTATGACTCCGGCTGATAAGATGATAACATGTATTGATAAACGTCTCTAAATGTCGGGAATATTAAAGTTGTATAAGTGTTGAAATATAAGTGTGATAAACGAACAGCGTTCAATTGATTATTACTTAATAACCCAGAACGTAAAAATTAAAATATTAGGTTTTTGACCTATCGAGAAAAATTAAATTTTGTATGTTAGCTAGGAGCATCTATACTGTTTTTAAACTAGGAGGAGCGAATTAAAAAGAATCACCATTGTGGATTATCAAATGTCTTCGTAAGTGAGATTTATAATTAAATTCTTTAGAACAAACATCACACTTAAATGGTTTGTCATCACTATGAATAATTAAATGTCTCCGAAAAGTAGATTTATCATTAAATCCTTTGGAACAAACATCGCACTTGAATGCATTTTTATAACTGTGAATTGATGAATGTCTCCCTAAATGAGATTTACCAATAAATTCTTTGAAACAAATGTCACACTTGAATGGTTTTTTACCACTATGAACTAATAAAAAATGATGCTGTAAGTGATATTTCCTAGTAAATTCTTTGGAACAAATTTCACACTTAAATGGTTTTTCACCACTGTGAATCAGTAAATGGCTATGTAAAGAAGAGTTATCATTAAAACCTTTAGAGCAAATATTACATTTAAATGGTTTTGCACCACTGTGTATTATTAAATGATTCAGTAATGTTGATTTTTGAGTAAATTCTTTGAAACAAATATCACACTTGAATGGTTTTTTACCACTGTGAATTATGAAATGTCTCTGTAAATGAAATTTTTGATTAAATCCTTTAGAACAAACATCGCACTTAAATGGTTTGTCATCACTATGAATAATTAAATGTCTCCGAAAAGTAGGTTTATCATTAAATCCTTTGGAACAAACATCGCACTTGAATGCTTTTTCATTACTGTGAATTGATGAATGTCTCTGTAAGTGAAATTTACCAATAAATTCTTTGAAACAAATATCACACTTGAATTGTTTTTTATCATTATGAATTACTAAATGTTGCTGTAAGTGAGATTTCTTAGTAAATTCTTTGGAACAAATTTCACACTTAAATGGTTTATCACCACTGTGAATCATTAAATGGCTATGTAAACTAGATTTATCGTTAAAACCTTTAGAGCAAATATTACATTTGAATGGTTTTGAACCACTGTGTAATATTAAATGATTCAGTAATGTTGATTTCTGAGTAAATTCTTTGGAACAAATATCACACTTGAATGGTTTTTTACCATTGTGAATTAATAAATAATGTTTCTGTAAGGCATATTTATTAATAAATTCTTTAAAGCAAATGTCGCACTTAAACGGTTTTTTACCACTGTGAATTAATAAATGTTGCTGTAAGTGATATTTCTGAGTAAATTTTTTGAAACAAATGTCACAGTTGAATGGTCTTTTACCACTGTGTATGTTTAGATGTCTCTGGAATACAAATTTATCATTAAAACCTTTGGTACAAACGTCACATTTAAATAGTTTATTTTCACTACTGTGAATTATTACATGACTCTGGAAATTAAATTTTTCATTCAATTTTTTAGAACAAGTGTCAAACGATTTTTTATCAAAGTAATCTATACTTTTTTGCTCATTAGTATAAAGATTGTATTTCAAAGATTTGTTGTCAATGTGATTTTTAGTTCCATTTTTCACTACATGAATAAAAAAATGTTGAAAAATTTCAAGTTTTTTCAATATTTTTCCACAAAACTGGCAAACTACGTAGCGTTTCTTAAAATGTCCATCAATATGAGTCGATCTTGACTTAGAAGCAGGGAAATCTGCAAATTAAAAAAAATGCCAATTTAAAAAATATATTGTTTTCCAATAAGTAAATTACTTTTAAATTTACATAGATCGAAATGTGATTTGAATATTTTGTTAATAATAAATAATAATATTATTTATTTAACAAATAGGTATAACATATTATGGAAGGTTAACAAAATAGCATGTTAATATAAACAATATTAAATATGATATATCCGAAGAAGAGCAAGTCTCTGTCAAGTGTTTTTATGATACTTTCATCGAAATAACATGCCTATTTAAATATATTGTAGGACTCACTTATAGGTCAAGGTTTATCTTACCCGACCAATAAATAAATCTTAAGTTCAACAAGTAACTAAAAGGCAAATATTGAAAAAAAATCTGGTTACCCGTGTTTGAGAAAAAAAAATGTTTTGTTAAAAAATTCAAGTTATTTTTTATTTCTGAACTTTTTATAAATAAATCTGGAAATTACACCGGCATTATTTCAAGGATTTCTAAGCAAAATAGAATATGACATTGTCGAAAAGAAAGAAGAAAAAGATATACGAAGCAAGTCATCGCTACGGATGAATCGAAAACCGAAGGAAATTCTTTGCTTTGCCTGCAACAAACCTGGCCATGGCCGTGGTAAAGAAATGCTGGAACCGACTTGACAACAATAAAACCGGATCTACAAGTAAAAACTATATGGACAGCAGCCAACGACGCTTCACGACGACCAGGCGTTCCTTCAAAAATTGTTCTAATTGCGACAAAGATGGACATCTACGAGATGACTGCTGGTTCCTAAAGTCCGCAACGGTGAAAACATTGCAAAGGCAAGTAACAAATGATTTTTACGGAATTAATATCAAAATAAATAATATTGTGTGTCAAGGTTATTTGGATACAGGCAGTCAAATAAACGTGGCACGCTTGAGTTTAATAGAAAAATTGGGTGTTGAATTAAAAATACCGGACACCTGTATAAGGGGTTTCGGAAATAAAATTTTATATCCAGAAGGACAGGTTCTCATAAATTTACATTTTGACAGTTTTTCTATAGAAACTACAGTATATTTTGTATATATGTAAAAAAAAAATCAAGTAACCTAGTTGAAAATTTTTGGTGATTTTTTAATATTAATTTCACAATAAATTCCACGGTAACCTATATATTTTATTGTAAAAAACAAAACCTAAATATTTCAAAAACCCTATTTTTAGTTTTTTTCTACTCCATCTAATCAATAAATAATAGTATACTTAATTATAATTCGAAAATTGTTGTTGAAGTCTTACTTTCTCGTAAGACACTGTACAAATACTAACATTTTTAATTTTTTTTTTCTCAAAAATTTGCACGGTAAGGTGTAGTTAAAAGTTCACTATTAGATAAATAAGGACTTCAACTATTAGAAAAAAATTAATTTTAGTCATAATCTAATATTTTTTATTTAACATTGGTGGCGAAAGGACCTCCTTAAACAAATATAAAAAATTCTGTAAAGTTAGCAAAATATACATTTTCCAGTTTATCAGAATATTACAAGAATAACGGACTTAATACATGGATTTTTTTAAAATAGTTTTTTTTTTGTTTCTTGCATAAATTGTTCAAGTTTTACTTTTTAATAAAAAAAAGTTTTTTTTTTTTTATTTCATTTATAATTCATTAAATATAATTAAAATAAATTTTTAATTTTTGTCAGCACATACAGGTGTTCTCACCTAGGTGGTTATTATATAATTGGTTTTCATTATTGTACTTTATTGTAACTTATTTATTGTTGTAACTCATTGTAACTTATAACTATTGAACTATTTTTCAGTTCAGTAGGTTAACAATATTAAAAAAAAAACTAAAATGTGTTTATTAGTTATTAAATTTTCAAGTTGTTATCAATAAATCAATATTGAGTATATTATATGTTATTATTAACTATTAAGTTTTTGCTAGCATGAATTTTTAAATGTCTCTTTAAGCAAGATTTTTGCGTAAATTTCTTAGAACAAATATCGCACTTGAATGCTTCTTTATTACTGTGAATTATTAAATGTTCATGTAAGTAAGATTTTCGATTAAATCCTTTAGAACAAAGATAACACTTGAATGGTTTTTCACAACTGTGAATTACTAAGTGATTCTGTAAGTCAGATTTAAAATAAAAACGTTTGAAACAAATGTCGCACTCAAATGGTTTTTCTTCACTATGAATTACTAAATGTTTTTGTAAGTTGGATTTATCATTAAAACCTTTAAAACATATATCACAATTGAATGGTTTCTTATTGTGAGTTTTTAAATGTTGCTTTAAGTTACATTTATAAGCAAATCCTTTAAAACAAATGTCACATTTGAATGGTCTATCATCACTGTGTATTATCAAATGTCTTTGTAAGTGAGATTTAGCAATAAATTCTTTGAAACAAATGTCGCACTTGAATGGTTTTTTACCACTATGAATTACTAAATGTTGCTGTAAGAGACATTTCTTAATAAATTCTTTGGAACAAATTTCACACTTAAATGGTTTTTTATCACTGTGAATCATTAAATGGCTATATAAAGTAGATTTATCATTAAAACCTTTAGAACAAATATTACATTTGAATGGTTTTTCACCACTGTGTATTATTAAATGATTCCGTAATATTGATTTTTGAGTAAATTCTTTGAAACAAATATCACACTTAAATGGTTTTTTATCACTGTGAATTATGAAATGCCTCTGTAAGTGAAATTTATCACTAAATAGTTTAGAACAAACATCGCACTTGAATGGTTTTTTACCACTGTGAACTAATAAATGTCTCTGTAAGGCAGATTTACTAATAAATACTTTGGTACAAACGTCACATGTAAATGGTTTATTTTCACTACTATGAATTATATCACTCTGGAAATTAAATTGTTCATTACATTTTTTGGAACAAGTCTCAAACGATTTTTTATCAAAGTAATTTATACTTTTCTGTTCTTTAGTATAAAGATTGCATTTCAAAGATTTGTTGTTAATGTGATTTTTAGTTCCATTTTTCACTACATGAATAAAAAAATGTTGAAAAAGTTCAATTTTTTTCAATATTTTTCCACAAAACTGGCAAACTACGTAGCGTTTCTTAAAATGTCCATCAATATGAGTCGATCTTGACTTAGAAGCAGGAAGATCTGCAAATTAAAAAAAAATGCCAATTTAAAAAATATATTGTTTAATAATGAGTAAATAATTTTAAATTCACATAGATCGAAATGTCACTTAAAATTTATTAATTAAAAATTATTTTCAAATACACATAATTATGTCTGTAATGATTTTATTTTATTTTAATGTCTGCACCATTTTGTACCTAAGATATTAGCAATAGTTCCACAACTATAACATTTTCAGATATGTCTTGTAAGCATATGCTTTATGAATTCTTAGTTTGTATTTATAATATCTGATTGATATTGAATTTTTATTTCGAATTCATACAACAGCCCAGTATCTTCGGACTCGTAGGCGCCGTTTAATTACTTCTGGGAAAATAAATCGACGTATAAACTAAATACAAAGCTTTAAGGTCTTTATGTACCGAATTCACAGTCGTTCTCTTTCCGATACATTTGCATATATGGGGTATAAATACCACGGTTTTTTGTGGGCTGGGAGATTTTTTCGAGTTTTTTTAGTGGTTTATAATGTAACATTTTATTAACAATGTGACTAACTCCCGTAACTTTAGTATTTTTTTTGCTTATACTAGACTATATTGTGCGTTTTACTCTGTTTTAGGACTTAAGATTCAAATGTCACTTCCGATTTGTCCACAAATGAGATAAACCTTGAAATTTTAAGCAGATAATCCTGTATTTCATCTAATATTCTTATAGAAATAAAATTTTGCTAGCAACTATGCTTCTTATTTATCTACCAAAAAGGCCTAAAAACCACCTTTATTAAATATTCTTATAAAACTACTTTTTAAAAACAAAATTTCGTTAGAAACAATGTCTATTTACTTCTAATTCAATGCTTAATATCTATTAAAACCCCCTTAATGCGGATTTGAAGTATTCAGCTCAAAGGATCATGGCGCCTTTATGTCAAAACGCTATAAATATTTAATGTTGAAAACGAATATACCTATTTCTTATTTTTCAAAACATTGGCACTTATATTATTTGTATATTGTCACGATTCGTATAAATTCATATTTTTCCTAATTTTAATTAATTATTTAAATAACATCCTGTACATAAAACTTTGTTTAATTATGTCAACAATTTGTTTTAAATAGCAATAATGTGCAAGGTTGGTTATTTAATAATTATTAAACATTAGTTTTTAATAACAATAAACGATGAGAAAGTTATAAAGGTAATGTCGAGGGAATGCACGAGGCTTTTTTCCACAGGGAACGGATCCTCCCCATAGGAGGTCCCCCTTGTAGGAGATTCCCTGTAGCAGCTCCAGCTTATAATATTCTGAGTTTAAATTAAAAGTCGTTTTTTAGTATTTCAAATAATTACATTTTTAAATAGTTTGTTAAGGGTTGTGACATGTGCCCCAAAGATTAGCGGAGTTGGTTAATAAGTGTTATCAACTACTCAAGTGAAAATTGCCCAGAATTACTTTAAAGCTCAAAAAAGGTCCTGGAAAAACGAAGAACAACTGGAAAATGTTGAAGGGGCCATATTGAAGAGTAAAACCACAAAATTTGGAGTTGGAAACCCAGCAAGAGTCGAAATTAACTGCAGAACAAATTTGAAACGCATCCTACAAGTAACATCATTTCATAAAATATATAAGGAATAAAAGTCAGAATAACAGTTGAATGAATCTAGTATGTTCAAACTCATTGCCACTAAATGGAGTGGAAGGTTATAGAGCGCAATAAGGGTCAAAAATAATTACATAAATTTAAAATGTGTAGAAAATAGGGTCAAAATAAAAAATGAATTTAAAACAAGTTGTTAATTTTGTTATGACCCACAATATAGACATAAAGTCTCAAAAGGAGACTGAAATTGCCGACTTAA